CACACACACACACACACACACACACACACACACACACACACACACACTTTAGTCTTTACACAGTTTATGTTTGTGCATACAGTCATGCAGCCACTAGATGGAGTTGCGTCCATCAGAAGTTGGGACAAACGCACCGGACAGAGACAAGATATAAATTACTGTAAATTATCTGGCGATAAAAAACGACAGCTGTTTGGACATTTGAGTTTCTCGCTACAGGCCTGCCAGTAAGGAGAGCCTGGCTTGTAGGGCACTCAGGAAACTCATCATGCATACATGTAGGACAAAATAATAATAACAACGAATATTTATTGGACAATTATTCCTGAAATTATTGGTAGTTGAGTTAATTTTTTAAACTAAATAATGCTAATTATTTGAAGTGAGATTCTACAAAAATGCAGTGAAAATTGGTTAGAATCAAATTTTAAATGGGATTCCATTGTACGTTTAAGAATACATGTTTTGAATATTTATTGTGAGACAGTATAGTCTGCGAGGTATCAGCATAGTAGTCTCGTCTTCACACATATGGAGGAGATGATTGAGTTTCTCAGGAGTCCACCTTCACTCGATCACTTGTTGAGGGGCCCAATTAAAGATTCGGCACCGGGATTAGGTTTAGGAAGGGTGGCTAATAATGACAAACTACCGGAGATACAAGCTTTTACTCAATAATGAAAGACGCTAGGATGCTGCCAATGAATTAAACAAAAAGGTACTGTGTGCACACACTGTGCGTATAATTCATTTCCGAAACACAATTGTTTATCACCTATAAGAACACTTTACACGAATTAAATGAAATGTATTTCGACTGATTTCCGACTTATTTCGGTTTCTGCCTTCAGACCTTCTTATAATGTTTAAGAGTATCATGACACCAGGTGGACTTTACCTGCAGTTAAAGGTCGCCAGCTGACACGTGCAAGAGAGTGGACCTGCCAACAGTCGCGTGTGCTCCACGAACGCGAGCACGCGCTCAAAGTTGCTGACTTCCAATTTGAGGACCCCGTCTGGGGACTACTGAACCCGTGCCTTTGGTAAAATTCAAGGATAGATCAGGTTACTTCTACTTTTACACGTCACGTTCTATAAGGGTTCTATGGTGTAATGGTTAGCACTCTGGACTCTGAATCCAGCGATCCGAGTTCAAATCTCGGTAGGACCTGTATTTATTTAATTAAATACATGGATTATTAAGTAATTTGTCTATGTACACGCTGCTGCTGCATGCTGCATACGCTCACGTACAACTCTTACATCCTGGAAATAAATGACCTTTTCCTGTGTGCTGCTGCAGTGAACACCCCCCCAGGAATGTGATTAATGACCCCTGCATTTGTCCGCTGGGGGCCACGAATGCCCTCGGAAGAGTCAACCTGAATTGGTCATTTTGCAACTAGACAAATTGGACGGACAAAGGGAGAAACAAAGTGGGGGAAATGGTCTAAACTCCAGTGGAAATGAAGCCAGTGCTCAGCCCAGAGTGACCTCTGACTGCTATATCTCTATTCAAATGGTGTATGTGGATACCTGGGACATTATGCATCATCAACACCATCGAGGCGGGATGGGACACCGACAGCAGAGGGTGACCTCGGGTCCCTTAATCAGCACAGTTGACAAAGCAATTTAGCGAGGATGTCCCCACATCAGTTTGAGAGAGTGAGAAGGTTACAAAGCACCGGCATCCCTGACATTCAGTGATGAGCATTTCTGTGTGTTAATGTTATTTCAGTTTTGGTGGCAAATAATCTGAACTCCATCTGTTGTGAATCTGCGTCCGAGCAACTAGGCTTTTTTTTTATGTCCAGGCAGATCTGGGCAGGTGAAAACCCCAGAATGTTGTGTATGGGCCGACCTCTTAGGTGACTCAATAATCTCACATGCTTCTGCATTAACATGAGACACACACGGTCCAAATATGCCACGAAAAATTTCAACTTCAGCTGACATATCATTTCTCATAACTCACCTGAACTGTAATGATAGGGGCATAGATGCAGTGGGATGTGGCTCAGATGTGCTCGTTTTGGGACTGCTGCCTGTAAAAGGATATCTGCATGAAAGGGTAAGGGGGGGGGGCAGAAACAGCAAGAGAGGGAGAAAAGGAGAGAGAGCTTGCAGTTACATTACAGCCTCCCTGCATTTACTGTACTGTATAATTCTAGAGGTGAGAGGAGGAGGGGCGCTGGGATAAGAGGCGGGTGTGGTGGATGGGGAGACGAACACGATTTTTAACTTAATTTGCTATTTCCAAGGGTGCTACATGATGTCCATGCTTCGGTCTCTCTGCCCCTGGGCGTTATAAATAGTAAAGGTTAATTAGTTAGCTGGGAAATCGGATCAGGGGCGGGCAGTTAGAATTTGATCCATAGACAGGTAACTCAAGCAATCCCTTTTGTCACTGCAGTCAGACCTATATAAATCCACCTTGACGTGCGGCAGTCACCACATCGCTTTCCTCTCTGCTGGATCACCAACCGGGCGAGAACCCCCTAAACACGGTGAGTTGCATGGTGGATTCAGAGAGGACGCTGCTGATGGGAAGTGGCTGACTTTCATTTGCTTTAAAAGACTTTGCAGATGTGGATTTTCTGTGTATTCAGAGCACTTTAGAGGCTGCTAGTTAGAGGACAAGTGAATCAATTGGGTACTTATTTTCCATAAAAGTTATTTCCATCATGTTTAATTCATTGGATGAGATGTTATTTAACAGAGAAGAAAGATTAATGTACATGCTGACTTTCATGGCCGCTGACTTCTCAATGTCAGCGTTGACACCGGCACACATTTTACTCTCCATCAGTGTCAAGTTAGAGGGTTTGCTTCTGTACCTGGCTACATGTGTTAATAATTCACCACGGTTGTTCCTCCTACAGGAATAAAATGTCGCTCTCATCTATCCTTTCCGCTGATGCCATCGACAGTGCTATCAAGGACTGCCAAGGTATCGTCTTCCACCAATATCATTATTGCTCTCTTTGTTGGATCTTTTTGCTTTCTTTAGTTCTATACAGTCTTTCTACTGGAGCCTGCTCAGTCAATAGGGTTGTCTCTATTTTATGGCCAACTGGAAGACTGCAAAATGTTGACATTAAAGTTGAAGTACAGAATAACCTGAGGTGCAGGTTAAGAGATTTCTTGAGCATCAATTGGGCACAAGCCTCAAGCTAAAGAGAGACTAGATATGATCCTGTTAGTATTATTATCACTGGAGGAGAAGGATAATTAAACATTTGCTCCTCAAACCTTTTTAAAAAATGAAACAGATTCAGGAGCAATATTTTCTCCATACTATGTATGTCACACTTAATAATACCACATCAGTCATTGTCGTGTTTCCAGTGTTTGAACCAGCACTAAATGTTGAAGTTCCTGACTCTGCTCTCTATATTCTCCTCCAGCACCGGACTCCTTCTGCCACAGGAAGTTTTTCCAGCTGTGCGGCCTCACCAAGAAGAGCCCCCAGGAAGTGAAGAAGGTTTTCGGGATCCTGGACAATGATGGCAGCGGTTTTGTTGAGGAGGAAGAGCTCAAGTAAGCGAGCAGCCAGTTCACTAACTACAGATATTTATATATTGTGCCCAGGATGTAAAGGATCCTGACTTCTGGCTTTGTGGCTGTTGCTGTGCGTCCAGTTGTTACCTCTAACTTGTGTCTCTCTGTGTACGCCAGGTTTTTCCTCCAGAGGTTTTCCCCTGGGGCACGCGTTCTGTCTGACAAGGAGACGAAGGAATTCCTGTGTGCTGCTGATGACGATAGCGACGGCCGGATTGGAGCAGACGGTGAGTGGATCCACATCTATTTGGTATATTATGCCAGACATGCATGTGTGTATGTGTAACTAGAAAACCACGACGCTTTAGGAAACAATTCTCCACATTTTACCTTTTTTAAATAGAATGCAGATTGACTAAATGTGTTGTATTGTTAGGGAAGTTTGCTTTTTCAGGGTGCTTGAAAGAGAGACAGTTATATATTCCAGTACTAAAATCAAACAAGCAGCCATGATAATTACCCCAACAATGTTTCTTTTGACCATCTGCGATTTTACATTTTAGTTTGTTAGACTTATCGTGTTAACGAAATGTTAAAAGCACAGTGGCAGTGAAGTTTTGCACCACCGTGCTCTCTCTAATGGATCATATCTGTCACGTTACCAAATATAAAATACACATATTTTAGAGTTAGGTGTCAGACAGATGAGGTGAATAATCATCTGATCAATTTGTGTTTCTTTTCTCCTCAGAGTTCCAGGCCATGGTCTTGTCTTAAACAACTGGACTCCATCGCTCCAGGTCGACCTGACCCCCCTCAACCCGCCCCTCCTCCACTGCTTCAAGGGCTCACTTAGTTTTATTATTTTCCATCTGGTTAGATAAAAACTTTTGAATCTGTTTTTTTTTTTTTCCCAAGACTCGTTCCGGTCCACAGTCATCCACATTCACATCATAATTTGTTTTTCATGTTTTAAAGATATCATAAAGCTGTATTTCCCAAAATAAATGTAAAATTTCCCAAATTACTGACAAAATAAAAGAATAAAATCCAAATCTTGAGGCTATTTTTCCTTATTTATATTCAACAGCTTTGTGTGTTTCTGAATGTCTTTTACTCATACGTGGTTATGTGGTTTGAGGTGACACACGGTGGCATGGCAAGAAAAATACACAGTATGGTGATCAAGGGAGTGTTGAACTGTTTCATATTCACAGTCTCATTAACTTTTATGAAGTGGGAATTCATGTATCCACATGCTGATCCAGATGTGCCCATGCACAAAACAAACACACAAGTCCTTATATCTTCTCGTGAAACGTGTCCTGAAAACACAGGGTTTCTGATTGAGGTGTACATACAGTACAGGTGTGTGTGTGTGTGTGTGTGTGTGTGTGTGTGTGTGTGTGTGTGTGTGTGTGTGTGTGTGTGAGACAGAGAGAGAGAGAGAGAGGTTATAGATTCATAGATCTAGCACAGAGAAAAAGCAGACGTGGTGACCTTGATGACCACCTGAGTGTCACTGCGACTGGATCGAGTGACACCTGACCTCAGCTATGTAAGTAAACCCAGCTGAGCCTTGGTGTGTCTCAGGCTAGAGCAACAAAAAACACACACACACATCCTAATGAATTTGCAAAAATCAAATATGAGATCAGACACAGACGGCGCTCCATGCAAGCAGACATAATCCGAAATATGCACATGAACCCACATCAGGGTGGATGTTAATATATGCACCAGTGTGAGCGTGTAGATATGTGCCATGCACAGAAGAAGATTGCAAACTCTGCAGAAAGCTATAGCTGTGGATGCTAGCCTCACACGTACTCCTTTGCCAGGTTTGCCTTGATAGCTTGCTCAGGATATATTAAAGGAGAATTATTACACTCACACAAACTCTCAGACAGAAGACTGTCCATCGAACAGCTCCGCATCCTCCCTCCGAGAGACATTAAATAGCATTTACAGGATTCATGGGATTAAAATTAACAACTGCTTCCCTATTTACCCACCCACAAGAGGCGCCAAAATACAGAGCACCACGCGTTCTTGCAGTGGTTCCAGCTTAGTGTCATTTCAATTACCTGTATATTACAGGGGGAACCTGACTATTACAGCAGACACCTGCTACTCAGAACTACAGGGCATACCCTGATATTAGCATGAGGTCGTAGTCACCAGTGCAGGATGTGTAGTCACACCTGCTGTTTGATTCAGATGATGTGCTGTAATAATGATAGTGTTCCTTATTCAGCCATGCACATACTGCCTGTGTGTTGTTGTTATATATATATATATAAGGACAAGGGTTGGGGAAGCCAGTAGGTAACACTATAGCCACAGGACACACGACGGAGCAGTGACCCCTGCGGGTCAAGAGAAGCGAGTGGTAAACAGGAAGGAAATGTGAGCCAACAGGTCGACACTGACTGCTGGATGTGTTGCGGTGGGACAGCAGAACATGATAATGTGACAAGCAGATTACCTGGTCTCAAGGGCGGAGAGAGAGAGAGAGAGAGAGAGAGAGAGAGAGAGAGAGAGAGAGAGAGACTCTGTCTGTGTAACTCTGTTTCTCTCTAGGGCAGCACAGCTCTGACAGGCCAATAATGTCCGACAGTCCTGGGGGGCTGACAATATGAGCAACATGACAAAACAACATTTTGCTCATATTGGACTGCAGGTTGGACATTGAGTATGTAACGCACGTTACAATCTGAGTTCCTTTGAACTATTTATTCTGTTGATGGGAATAAAGTGAAATCTTAAGCAGTAGAGTAAATACATGTTCTGGGGCTCATGCCATTAGAATATATTTTGGGGATGAGGAATATTCCTTACACTACAACCCGTATCTATTCTACACCATCTATGTGATCAATGAGGGTGTTGTTTTGCATTCTAAGAATTAAGGTTACAAAAAAAATGCAATGGAAATGTCATCAGGGCTGAATTCAGCAGTACAGGTCATAGAAGTGGTAACAGTAGTAGCAGTCACCTTCAAATGTTAGGATGCAGCATTAGGTAACAAACAAAGGATTAGGAAGAAATTAAGCAAACCAGCAAACTTGACCTAACGATTAACTTACTTTTACTTCACTTTAACTTAACTGCTTTTATATTGAAACGTTTTGTGGGACTACTAATACTGTACCATGCGATTGGTCTGGAAGGGCACTTGAGGATGGACACATGGGCCTCGTCTGCTTGTCTCTTCAATAATTGATGTCCTCGCTTCATTGTCACCAAAAACTCATATCAAGAAAGGAGTGTCAGGCTCCCCTTACTGATTAAGTCTGTGTGAAACTTTAATGTGCACCCCATCTTCAACCGATAACAAACCGAAGTGCTCAAGCAAACGCGGTGAAAGGAAGTTGAACCATTTAGACGTTCCGCTGTGCCTCCAGCGCCTGCCGTGACAAACACTGATCATATTTTGACTCGCTCCACAGTCTTTTCGGAGCGTGGAGGTCTCAGAGATGTTGCTACCTGATAGTCTGAACAGGGAGGAACATCGTGAAAGATTTAACTGCCGTGTTAGGATGACTGAATGGGCTTTGTGAGCTCTGTGCAGGAACTCCATCCATAATGCAGGGGATGACAGCATTGCCTCTGTTCTCCAACAAGCATTAGTCCTAAGCCTTTGCCTATGATGTCTGCGTGCAGCTTCCCTTCATTAATGAATGATAGGCCACGCACATATCAATGGCCACCCCTGATACACACAGGGCCTTCGTGGAAGGCGATTTCTAGAAATCTATTTCCACCCTGCCTTGAGCGTATTGTTTACAGATCCGCTAATTGATATTTTATTTATATATATATATATATATATATATATATATACACATCTATTCACTCGACTTAAGTTTGCAACTAAAAGCCACACCCTGCCTAATACCCTGAACAGCTGTCACATGTTGCTGACTCACCCTCAGACTGAGTAATGGCTGTCGTGGAGAGGTAGACGGGTACTTTGCTGACTTTTCCCAAATGAGAGGGCACAATAAGATAAGATGGCGAGAGTCCTGAACAAACATACTTCGACTATAATGGAGGCAAATGATTGGAGAAGATGTTTGTGTCCCGGTGGAGTTTGGTCAGTAAACACCAAACAACAAATGCCACAAAAGCACTTACATACTTCATAAACTTGCATTACACGCATGGTGCGATCAGAAGCTCAGACATTACTTGTCTGCATCTTAAAATGTAGTTTACGGTGAAAGTGTATCGTCATCGACTAATACTACACCTACAAATGAGTACATGCCTTTAATCTCTTTAAAGCTATTCATTGCATCAGTTCACACACTATTTATCTATGTCAGTGACCCAGTAAGACTGTAACTTACAGTCTTACACCCATGTTACCCACAGCCTGACAGGACAGACTTCCACGTCCCTTGTTCCTACATGATTTAGAGAACTACAGTGAACTGTCAGGTTTCAGCTCCCTCCGTATAGTCTCAGTTTCTTTCTCGGGTCTTACTCTGGCCATCAGATCCGACCATTACCTCGGCAGAGCTGCCGGGTTTGATTCAATCCCTTGTGATTGAATAACAGAGGCTAGACTGAGCTAATTGATTTTGATCTGTGTTACAGGTTGACTGCTGTAGGACTGAAGCAGTCGCATCTAAAAAAAAACTTTGTCTATTTGAACCCAGGAGATCACAGTGATGGTGATGTCAGGCGAGACACGAGAAAACAAAGAGCAGACAGACTGCATGAGTCACAAGGTACAAAACTCTACTACGTATTAACTGCCATGGTAGACTATAGTAATGTATATATGGAAAGAAATGTCACATTATCTTTTACTTATATTCCTCCTAATCTGTCCTTAAAGATGAGGTACTACAGGTGGCTATAGACCGTTGACTAGCAGACTCTTGTATAGTCACACATACACAGTTGTGCACATGCAAGCTCACACACAAGGTTTAAACAAAAGTCACATTCATATACATATACACATACAAATATACACATTTGAACATTGTATCACATACTTATTGATTATACCATTCTTTATGGAATAATTGAAAAATAAAACTTGTATTTTTTATATATATATTTATTAGTAAAAATGTATTTATTTAAGTTTATAGACTGAACTATTTGTAGCGTAGATATGGAAGGCCTTCGTGCATGGCATGAAAAACTATAAAACAGTCATTCTTTGCTAAATGTCAAAGAAATGCCTGCTCATAAAACGGTTAACCTAGGAAGTATACTACATGTACAATTCAAATGCACTGTGATGTCTCTACAGGTATGATGTAAAAACCTCACAACAAGATGCTTTCTCTTGTATAAAAGAAAAACAATCTTACAAAATTAAAATTAAACAACATATTGTCCATTGTACTGATATTACTGAGATTATAATTATTATGATTATTTCACGACTCCACAGATTAAACCCTACTTTGCATCATCATCTTTGAATTAGTCTGCCTTAGTTGAGTCATGGTTAAGTGCAGAAGTTCACTCAAGTACGACCGACTCCTCTGTTGACAGAAATGGGAATGTGAGAAATTATACTGTGGCGCCCTCTCGTGCACGTGCGATGACACGCGCAGCGAGAGATGTGGCGGTGCGCGATGTAACTGTGAATCTGGATGGTTTTAACACAACTGTGTGAATATTAAAACAGTGTATGAAAAGGTAATTTACTGTGTAATCCCAAACGAATTCATATAACTAATTTTACTTTCACCGGATGTGAGGTCACCGTGGCTTCCTTCCCGTGTGAACGTGAGCGTCGGTGGCCGCTGCTGCTGCCTGTCAACATCACAGCCCCAGAAGAAGACGTCTTGTGTTCGGGATTTTGTAGTAAACTGTTTGTCTCTGACAGAGCACTAGCTGTCCTCCGCCATGTCCATGTACCAGGTAAAGCCCGTCTGTGGGAGCCACGTAACGACAGATTTACCAACCTGCATGTACAACTTACCAAATGTCCACGCGCAGCAAGGAAACAGCAGCACGTCTGAGCACGCGCTTCAGGTAACTCTTAACTGATTTAATTTCGACACGGTTGATTATTTTTTTTCTGTCGGTTGTATTTTGCCCTCGTTGTTGCCCAGAACTCGTTTTGATAACTGTGCATCTCGCGCGGTGTGTTAGCACTAGCTTACGTTAGCCAAGCTCGCTAGCTAGCCAAGTTAGCTTGTCAGGAAAATGAGCTCAGTTGTGGCTGATGCAACAACTAACGTTACTGCACGTCTCCACTGTTCCGACGTTTAAAGATGAATATGTTGTATTAATGTTTTTATAATGGAGTATATTAGTCCATTTTTATATTGGTCCATATGTTTACACTGTCGTTGTTACTAATCCTTAGTGCACATCACGATGGCATGTCTTCTCATGGTCCTTAACAGGTTACTGTAACATTACTTAAATACAGTTTTCTACCGTTAGTCTATTTGAGTATTTCATGCCATTTTATTATACTCGCGCTGCACTTCAATTTAAAGCTATGTTTTTATTACTTGTTACTCTACTGCATTAATATGACAGCTATGACTAGTTACTTTACACATTAAAATATACATGCATTGTAATAGACATCAAATATGATTTATTTTTATAGATTAAACTACATAACCGATGGTAACGTTATATAAAACTACCACAGTAAAATGCTACTTACACATGACATCAGCAATATTAATACTGCATATAAAAGTGCATGAGTACATTTACTTTTGATACTTAACGTACATTTAGCTAATATTACATAGTTATCGACAAGTAATATTTTTAATGCAGGACGTTTACTTGTAATGGAGTATTTTTGCAGTGTGGTTATGATACTTTTACTTGTGTGTCTGAGTACTTCCTCTAACCCTGCAGTGTGTTGTTCACTGTTGACTTTAATCTGGAGTAGACATTGTGGCACAAATTACCAGTAGCCTTTATAACCCAATAACCATTGACCTGAGATATGTTAAATATGTTCTCAATACTGAATCTGTTATCTGTGCAAAGTCCGTTAAACGTTGGGACACCAGCTAACACCCAGGTTGTAAAACTGCTGCAGGATTGTGCTCAAATTCTAAAAAACAGTGAATGCTTTCACCCATTTGCGGTTTCAGCCTAAACGAGCGACTCTTTCTGTGTCCCCAGAATGGCGAAGTGGACCCTGCAGTCAAAGCTCTGGAGGCCCGACAGGATGAGATCATGAGGAAACTGTACGAGCTGAAGGCAGCGGTGGAGGGCCTGGCCAAGACGGTGTCCACCCCGGATGCCGATCTGGACCTGACAGTCAGCAGCAGCCTCTCATCCCAAAGCCCCGCCTCCACAACCTTCAAAGGCGTCACAGACCTGGACACACTGTTGGGCAAGGTGAGAGTCTCTATTATACTAAAGTGATATTCTGCATGAAAAATGTACTGGCAGAACCTGTTTCTTGCAACTGACATACTTTGACTTTATCTTCTCTGGGGCAGCAGTCTATAGATGTTGTCACGCCCATCATACCTGTCATTAGAAGTGATTAATACCTTGCTAACCTGCAGAACCTGTTTGTTTTGGAATTTGTCTTGAAGCACATTTCATGGTGTGATTGCAGTTTGTGCATGCTGGATTGTCCTAGTTAGAGTAGACACATATTGTATTACGTCAGTTATTTCCGGATGATTCGACTATTTACCTTGTTATCTTGTTTATGTCACAAGGATCTCGGTGCTCTCCGAGATATCGTCATAAACGCCAACCCGGCGCAGCCCCCTCTGACCCTGCTGGTGCTCCACAGTGTGCTGTGTCAGCGCTATCGAGTGCTCTCCACCGTCCACGTCCACTCCTCAGCCGCCAGCGTGCCGCCACAGCTCCTGTCCTGCCTCGGCCCACGCCACGCAGACAGCTATGCCCGCCAGATGTTCCAGCTGGGCTTCACCCTCATATGGAAAGATGGTAATTCACAAATCTTGTAGTGAATGAAAACAGACAGTATGTCCATACTATACCTGAACCAGGTTGATACGCTGGTGCTATGTGGCCCTGGTAAACAACTAGCAAGGAGCTCCACGACAATGCTGGATAATTTAGATGAAATGTTTTGTTACGGTGTGTAGACGGTTAGATTATAAAACAAATAGTCATTGTGTTTTAGAAATGCTATTTCTAAGTGTTGCGTTCATGTTATCAATAACATATTGACATGGATAGGGTAAATGCTTGTGCCCTTGTTTACCTGGAAACATGTTTATCCTTTTGCACACATCACAGTCCCCAAACTGCAGATGAAGTTCAGCGTCCAGAACATGTGTCCCGTCGAGGGCGAGGCCAACGTGGCGCGCTTCCTCTTCAAGCTGCTGTCTCCCTACCCCAGTGACCCGGCCGTGGCCACGCTGGTGGACAGCTGGGTGGACACGGCTTTCTTCCAGCTGGCGGAGGGCAGCGCCAAGGAGCGGGCCGCAGTCCTGCGGTCCCTCAACTCCGCTCTGGGCCGCGGCCCCTGGCTGGCCGGGCCGGAGTTCTCCCTGGCCGACATCGCCTGCTATTGCTGCGTGCTGCAAAGCGGCCCCGCCTCCTCTACTCCCGCTAACGTCCAGCGCTGGATCAAGTCCTGTGAGAACCTGGGCCACTTCAGCCCTGCCAGGCTATTTCTGAAGTGACCGGGGGCCGTCACGGGACCAGAAACCAGAAAGGGTGTCTTACCCGAGCAAAGTGAGAGAAGGGCATTCGATTATTAAAATATCCCAGCCGTGTCTGGAACCCCTCTAATGATTCCCTCCTTACTGTAATATATCACAGAACTGACAAAGACTCTGTAGAAGCATTATGGTTGAGTATGAAGGGAACATATTTGTCTCTGCCATGTTGCTTTTGTATAACAAAGGGATTCTTAGGGAGGAAGCATGGGAGGACAGTAAAGACGAGGGCTTGGTGACGGATTAAATCAAAGGTACTGACAGAAGTAACACACTCTGTACACTTTCCACCCACTTTGTGCCTAACATGACCCTGTTCTAAATGTGTGCTGACGGGTATTACTAGGTGTTCTCATGGGTAATACTTTGCACCGTTGTTTTATTTTAAACCATTAAAACTTCCACTTTGGATCAAACTTTGAGCTGCGACCTGGGGTTTGTTTTATTTGAATGTTCGATCAATTTAATAGCAAATTTCCTTTAAAAAAAACAACAACTAACGTGTCTTTTACTGAAGTGCACCTCTGTGTCCTACAGGTGGCAGGATTGTCAGATATAGTTTGAAGATAATGTAGTCATTCAGAAACTTCCCTCACCTGCTGATCCAGAGTCAGGGCTGTACCTTGTCCCACCGTACAAGAAGTGGAAGGTAGGGAAAAATCACATTTTAGAAATATCTTTACCTGGCTTCCATGTCTCTGGACAGTGTAAAATATCTGGTGGCAATCTGTGTCCTCCCTACCGAGTGCTCCAGTGTTGTCATTGGACGACTGCAACAAACGAACACATTAACACAGTGAGGAGGATACTAAAGCAAATACAAAGTAAGGGAATTATGGGTTATGAAGCTGCCGTTTCCCTTATCAGCTGGTGTGTTGTTGAATAGAATCCCAACACTCTGTCTCTCAAGCAGAGCAGACTTTAGAGCAGTGAGGGCAGTTCCACAGCAGGAGAGTTTTAAACCTAAATCTCTCTCTGGCAGGCAAAGTCAAAGAAAGACTAGAATACATACATAAAGATGCACACATGCAATGGTGTCGAAAAGAAGAAAAAGCAAATCCCAGGGCGTTTCACGCTCTCTGGGTTTGACATCTTTCAGAAGTTGTCATGTCAGCTCGGGCCCTCGCAGAGTCTGTGTTTGAGCGTGTTTGTGTGCTCTCACAGCCTCCTGCTGGTCTCCAGGCAGCTGTCTGACAAGACCAACGCTTTTAACTGACATGTGGACGCGTGGCGCTGAATACACGTTTTTGACGTGTGACACAAACGGACTTCTTTTAAAAAACGGTGATCCGTATCAGTTGATGCACTTCTCTAATCCAATTACTTTAGTTAAACTGCAAAGAAGCAAGATGCAGACAGAAAAAAATAAGTCTCTTTCCTTGTCTCTTTATATATGATATAAAACATACAGACAGGAGATGCATTCTCATTGAGCACCTGTAGAAAAAACTAATTGAACTGAAAGACAAAAATCACTTCAGTTTAACCCTGTGGCTACTTCAAATCACAACAATAGCACAGATAGAAAGATGCTTTTGTTAGTATAAGCGGTCCTCGAATGTCATTGTCCATGATTGTCAATTAAGGTATTTTCATTAAGCCATTCAGGAGTCGGGAGATATATGCTGTGCCTATCAAACAAGATACGGGAAGAATATTAACACACACGGGCTAAATTGTCTGAAATAAAATATTGCTCAGGTTTTTTTTTTAAGCACAATATGGTTTTGATTCTGCATCAATTAAAAGGCCGAGAGGAGACGCACACCGTCTAATGTGTTCACTCTGTGAGCAACGCGCACACGTGACTGTTGTATCTCAAAAGCTGAATGCGTTCAAAGTAGTCGTCGGTCAGGAAGTTCCTCTGCGAGGTGACCAGGTTGCCTTTCTGACTGAAGAGGCGCTGGATGGGGGCCGTGGACGGCAGCGTGGTGTTGTATTTGAGGAAGAGCTGCTTCATCCTGGGGAAGTCCTGAAGGCACTCGAGGCTCTTCCCCGTTCCTTCGACGTACTTGCGGATCTCCTCCATCACGCCCCGTTGCTGGATCTGAATGGCGGGCTTCACAGACCCGTAGCTGAAGAAGTCGTCTTCCGACTCGATGGTCGACACGCTCCGGGTGGTGTTGGCCTCGATCATGATGCCGGGATCTATCTGGGAGGCCTCTGTGGCCAGCAGGGAGCACATCTCCTCCCGGTCGGAGGCGGCCATCCACCACAGGCGAAACTGCGGCGTCGTCGCCGTCGCAATTTTCGCCTCCGTGCTGGCGAACAGCTCCAGGAACCGCGCGTCGATGGCCACCACGATGGCACCGATGACGTCGCCGAAATAGTTCGCCGAATCCTTCTGCTCGCTCAGCTTGTTCTTCAGACTGAGCACGGTCGGGATGACCAGGCCCAGGTAGCACTTCTGCTCCGCTTGGAAAAGTTCAAGTGCAAAAGCGAGCGGGTGGAACACGGTCACGTATTCTTTGAGGAAGGCCATCTCCTCCGGCTGCAGGCGCGGGACCTCCAGGCGGGCACCCAGCTCCGTCAGCTCCTGCTCGGTGAGTGAGACGATCTTCTGCACGGCGCAGTACTCCACGTTCCAGCGTATGACGGCGGGCACGACCAGGGCCATCTTTCCGATCGCCTCCGCTGCGTCCATGCCCACCTGGAGGTGGTGGCATTTGCTCCATAGGGAGTACACCTTGGCCATTGTGCTGTAATGCAGCTGGCACATGGGCCCCTGTGACACGGCCTGCCAGAAGTCCTCCGTGACGATGAGCTCCAAGGTGTGCGACGCGCAGCGCTGCACGGTGGGCAGGAACAGAAGCATGTCCTGCTCCGGCTCGCCCTCCAGCACGGCGCTCACGTTCTCGTAGAAGCCGATGTCGTCGTCGCTCTCCGGGCTGTCCAAGGCGAACTCCTTGAACACGCTGACGAAGGGGCTGCCGTTGTCCGTGACCGTGGTCTGAACTTTGCTCTCGATGTTGTACGCCACGTGGATGTCGTGTATCCGCCCGGCGATGGTGTCGTGCGTGATTCGGCCCTGCAGCCGGGCGAACCCCAGGGCGGCGGACTTCCTCTCCAGAGAATGCCTGTCGATCCATTGGCAGGTCATCCCAAAGAAGCTTCTGTTGTTGGCCGTCCAGATGTCGGCTGTGGTGCACACGTACAGGATGCTGCTGAGTTTGGCCATCAGCTCCTCCCGCATCCTGGAGAAACCCTGGTCCACCTTTGTAAACAAGGTCACCCTGTCCATGGACTTCAGCCCCCCAGTTAAGCCCGAAACCAGCTTCCTGAAGCCAGGCTGCTCGAGCACATAAAACGACTGGCAGTCCTCCACGATGAAGTTGAAAATCAGCTCGTCGATCTTCGCTTGGGTCATGCACTTGGAGATGATTTCCGCTTTCAGCCTTTTGAGTTGGCAGTGCCGGCTCTCCTCGCCGTTGAGCTCTTCTTTCTTCCTCCCCCTCTTGACATCGGGCCTGGCTTCACAGCCCAAGTGGGTTCTCTGCAGGACGAAACGCCCACAAGGGCTCATGTCAGTTTGTTGGACGCGTGCCATTTGTATGTTCTCAGTTTCTATTAGTTTATAAACTTAACATGCAAAGGGAAAAGAAAAAAACTCAAAATGCCACTTGTGAAATTATTTTTGTTTTTGTTTGTCCAGCGAAGGAGAAAAATAAAGCGCCTCCAGCGCCACGAGTCGGTAATCAACACGCAGCTCCAATGTAACGTTATTTATCACGAAGTATTCATTCATTTAAAACGTGAACCTGACGGTTACAGGATGTCATTTCAGGGGGATCAACGAGTGTTACTCACGTCTAAATGCTTCTTCAGGTTTGACGTGGAGGTTTTCGACGTGGAGAGCAGGTTAACCCTCGGCAGACACAGATTACACTGGACGATGATATTTTTCCCTTGATCTGCCTTGTACGTGAAATGGTGGCGATAACGCCAAGTATGCATGGCCGATTTGATTTCGCCGCTGCCTTCTTGGTGATCAACATGCATTTCGGACATTATCTCCGCCGTTGTCGACATCTGGAAATATAATAAAAGTATCGTAATCCAATTTAGTAATCGTGATTACACGTAAAGTAACGATGGCGGTAGAGAAATCCTCATGAAAAGGGGCAGGCCTTTGTTCAGATGTGGCCCAGTGAGCGAACGAGAAGCGGACACTGTCGTCACTCCTCGTTTTCGCACATGCGCGTTGAGAGTCCGCGACAGCCAATTGAGAGAATGGCCACGGTGGAGCGAGGCGCATGCGTCGTACTCACACGGGCGAGCTCGCCATTACGTCACGGTCCTCTCCTTGTGGCTTTTACTCACATTCGCTGGAAGTACTTTTACCAGCGTTTCCTTTTTCTCTGGCGCTGCTGAGTTTGGCGCCACCTGCAGGGCAGCGGAAGTCACAACGTTTTAATTGAGACATTGAATTAAAAAACATGCAGTCAGGTTTTATTCAACAGAGAAAATACAATAAAATTTAAATGACCATTTGAGCAGCAATCACAACAAAAAAACAGCTATAGAAGGAAAAATATATTTAGTCAGAAACAAAGAAATAGGAATTAAATTACTTATCATGATCTATCACAGTTGTATATTTCATTTTGAAATGCATAAAAAGTAAAAAAAAAATAAAAAAAAATGTTGGGTTGCACATTGTCCGGATTATTCTTTCACTAAATGAAAACATTGCAGCTGACAGTTCTCTAACTGTTATATTATAAATATATTTATAGCATTTAAAGTCTCCCTCTGTTCAATGCTGTGCTCCTCTGATTGCTTCTTCACCGTGATGCTTTAGACTCACTGTGCATAATAATGTATGTGCAGAGTTTTACACTGTAATGCTGTTTTCACATTCATCCGTTGAAGGGCAAAGGTTTAGCATGTGGACAGATGAGCGCGATCCTGTGACGTCACAGCTGGTCCGTGAGCCAATCGTGGTCCAGTATGTGTAGCATACATGTGTACTTGAACACACTGAGAATGGACTTTACAGAGAGGTAGGTCTTGTGTCTATTTAGTAAAACATTTTGAAACAAATCATAGTTGCATATAGCCTACTGTAGATTCTGTGTTTTTCAATGCGGGAGGAGCAGATAGAATAATCTTTAACATGGTAATTGTTGCAGAAAATAACACACAAACTTTTATTCCAAATAGAGTATTTTCATATGTTTTAAAATATGTCTGGAAGGGATCTTTAAAGATCAGAACTTACTTGTGGTGCTCATTCATTCATGTGGGAACTTGGCTCTAAAAGGGCACTAACTTACCCAAAGGAATTAAAAGAAGAGAGACAGATACTCTGAGAAATAGTAGCCTAGAAGTACAAACAGCTTCACACACAACCAGACCTTGTCTTAACCTCATACCACTCTTTGTTCCCTGCTCGCACTACTTCACCTGTATTGCAGGGCCTCTCAGGTGTCCTCCAGTGGTTTGACTTGTCAAAGCTGTTTTTTCTATAAATGTGACAAAGGAATAGAGCCAATTCTTATTCTAGGATGAACTGCAGGGTGAAATTAACCAGCCTGCTGGTCAGATTTCCACAGAATCCAGACTGGCAACACCAACAAGATCCAGTTGGCATGAATGGTGTTTCTTTTTGCCTGTTTAGTAAACCAATTTGTCCGCAATATGTTCAAAGTCAGAAGCCGGGGAGAGAAGAGTTTGAGTGAGACATGGAGATTTTGCAAGTTATTCACATTCATTATATTCTCTTCACTATGTTTTCCCCTTAAAATGTTATGCCACATTATTCACTTTACTTTATTAATTTTATTTTGCTTTAGTGGGACACACATTGCCATTCACACCTTACTTATCTTTCTATCATTTACTTTCAGCATCCTCTTGGTATGATCTTGGGAAATCAGATGAACCTGAGTGATGTACAGTGTGCTGTGTGATAACACGAGCTCACCAAACATCTAATTGCTTTTTTTAATGATCTGTTCCGAGGGAGGGTTGGCTGTTTGGCGTTAGTGCACCACAGAGAAGGACCGTTGTGTCCAAACCTCTCCGTATTTCTCTCCCCAACCCCCATCCTCATCCACGCGGCAGTTTTGGTAATATCTTCAGAATTCAGTAGAGAGTTTCCAAATGTCTCAGTTGAGAGACAGATTGTTTGGCTAATTCATATTTCCCCAAAGCTTCCACATGTTTTCAATGCATTAGCGATTCAATTTTAAATTGTAATGTCACCGGGATTTTCGTTTCTTTCTTTAATCAACAGCACCTCCATTGGTTAGATTTGGAGAGGGTGGGGTCTCACTTTAGAGCCACTGACGTATAGTTCTCTCGGATTTTAATAGAGGCGCTGTCTGTGTAGGAACAGAGAAAATAGTTTTGAGACAAAGATAAAGGGGGAAAACAGAAGACTGAGGAGGTTTGGAGTGCTCTTAATTGGTACACGATGTTGCGCTTGTGCTGTCCTGCGTGGAGCCTCTGGAGTGGGCACAACTGGTGTTCTCTCACAGTCACAGCTGCAACCAGTTGGTTTTGAGCATCAGATGAGCGTTTCAGAAAATATTCTTCTTTTTCTGCGCTCCACTTTTCTTTCAGCCCGAGGAGCGGAGAGAGTGGGCGCGCCCAAAACCTAAAAGTATGACCAAAGCTTCCGCGCCCTGACGCGCTCCGGTGAGCGCAAGTTGGACCGGTGAGAGTGTGGACGAGCATGAAGCACCATGGGTTGGTGTGACCGCGGGGTTCAAACGCTGCTGGCCACCGTGGGGGCTTTTGCTGCCTTCAGCCTGATGACCATCGCCATTGGCACGGACTACTGGCTCTATTCTCGGGCGTACATCTGCAACACCACCAATGCCACCACAGACGAGACCCAGTCACAGCCTAAAACCAAGAAGGGCGATCTCACCCACTCTGGGCTGTGGAGAATCTGCTGTATTGAAGGTAAGCCTGCTCCAAATCGACTCTCACGCCGTGGCTCTGCATGGCAATTTAACATAGACTGCAAGGTTCCCTGTTCTTTTCATACAAATAGCTTGACTGTTCTCTTTATTTCTCAGTGCGCACAAAAGGACGCACTCCCTTTACGCACGCCAAATGTCTCAATCGGGCAAGAAAATAATCATCCATTTGGAACAACTTTCAGAGGTTATAGGTCAGATCGAGAAAGCGTCGATGCGCACACTTGTGGATTTGAACACTAATGAAGTAGCCGATAAACAAAGATAAACGCTCAACTCCAGCTCTCTGCCAACTGTTACATCGCATTGTTCGAGCATTGGCCCACACAATACGACTCTGTTAGAGTCTGCGATGCGTTGCCAACCCGGCGCGTCTGAGCCCATTCACATTAATGACGGTCGCTGCCAGGAAATGTGCGCGCTGTTGGTCTACTTTCATTCATGTCTTTGTATCCGATACTGTTGCTTGGCAACATCCCTGAAATTGCTATGGAAACATGCCCGGTGATTTAAAAATAGATGACTCAGAGTTCACGTCACGTCCAAGCAAATAGAAAAGAAAAAATTGTGAGAGAACTTGATCGTAAACATCCCCGATTTCATATTTTCTTCCCTTTGGAATGTGCTTTTGAACCATTTTACGCATTTGGTGTTTAAAGGTGCGCTGACAGTGACGTCTTACTTACTCCAGAGGCAGACAGACACTCGTCCATTGACCAATTCCTGCCGGCCACCCCTTGACTTCTCGCCTCAGCTATCAAGGAGTTAGTCGATGCGACTGGATGGATGTCTTCATAGCATGACGCGCAGATTTTTCCAATAAATTCGAGCGAAAAAAATACGACACATATCTTCAAAATTGGTTTAGAGATGTTTTGAAAATACAGCAAAACCGACGAAATGTAACAAACCTTCAAATACCCTGTTGATATGATGTATTACAGCCTACAATACAGCCCCAAACCTATTTTGTTTTATAGATTGTGTATGCCAAAGTGCCTGTCATGTGAAACTCTTATCTAAAAACATGATTTTATCTTTAGTTATCCACAGAATACAGAATAGGCATTTGGCCATATCTCCAGGCAGACACTTTAGAGATACAGATACATGTATATTCAGGAGGAGGTGTCCGCCCTAAACACGGAGCTGCTAAAACGTGACACACCGCCTTGTTGTCATCTGGAGCAATATTGTCTTCAACACCTTCTCACAACAGAAGGAAACTGAAACGTTTTTTTCTTTTCTTTTATGCATCTTCTGTTGACTGTATTGTCTTTTGTGTGGATTTAGTCAGAGTTCTTTGTTATTATTGCCTAGACTTTTAATAATTTAAAAAAGGTATCTAAATCTGTTTTGTTTCTTAATACTCCAAAAGCTGCTGAATATATTTCACTTTGTCCCACATGAAGAAAAACAACATTTTACCTGACACTAGATACTTTATTCCCCTTTGTAAGAATCTGTTTAAATATCAGGTCAGGTGCCTTTCAATATTTGCCGTTGATTCTGTGGATTAGCTCGTCTTCATTCCCTTTTTTTAAAGGCTTAATGTCATCAGAGCCCACAGGGAGCAGCCATCAATGATTAAACTGTTTCTGCTTGTCCTGTGGTGAAGATGGACGCTTTAGACTCATGTGAAGCACATCCTGGTGTGTTATGACACTTGCAATTTACTGAGAGTCATGCTTAGATGGGCGCCTGTCTTTGATGTGGACAGAGTGTAATAAATATATAAATATATATATATATATATATATATATGCATCCATGAGTAAGACCCCAATAAATGAAAATACATTTCTAATGCCAGCCAACGACTATGTGAGGCATCAGGGCTTTGAAGTAAATAATGCCAGTGGATTAATGACACTAGAGACTGAGCAGATGTTAATGAGGTTCAGACTTCTTTTTGAATTCAGAATTTGCACAATCAAAGGTCAGCCTATCACATCAGTCTCTCCACTGCTGGACGGTGGCTCTGTTGTCATGGAGACTCGTAAGTATAGTGGAGAAAACAAGGAAGCAACCCCCCCTCCTTCCGCACACACACACACACACCCCCCTCCGGTCATAATGACAAACATTGACAGGTTATTGACGGGGACGGCTCTGTGTGTATCACAGCTACTGGGAAAAACATCACCACGTTTGTCTGAACAGATCGCGGCGACATGTCTTTCTCTCAGCAACAGCACGTTGCTGTATCGCACGCGCACACACACACACACACACACACACACAGCAGCAGCAGCAGCAGAACCCCCTAATGAACGTGTTGTAGTGGGTAGTCGTCCTGCTCAACAGGCGTCACCTCCTCTCCCGAGGGCCCGCATGACATTTAAGGAGCAGGCGGGAATATATTGCATGAGGCTACTTTGCCGTGAGGTCAGCGCTACCCTCACTTATGCAATTCTAAACAGCTGTTTTTCTGCTGTGTTTGTTTGCCCACGTAAATGCTGTGAGGCCGGCACTGAGTGCGCCTGATTTGCATGAGAATCTGTAATGCATCAGAGGCTGTTCCTTAAGCGTGACTCGAGTAAATAAAACCAATTATGAGGATGAGGAAATAATCCAATTAGCAGGTATACATGTTTACAGTTAACATCCCAGCTTGTGGTGTGTTGGTGTGAGTGGCGAGGCATGGGGGACAGTAGAAGTGTGCGTTTGAGAGGAGGGTTTTGTTTAGGCGTTGTGGAGAGGGGGGTGGGGGTCACTTTGTTGTTCCCACTATGCTCCACAAGTCTGTAATTACAGCTGAGAAGCCAAGGGGGGCACTAATTAGCCAGCAGGCCCCAACTTCCACCTCGTCACTCCGTCCCCCTCTCTTCTGCTCGGTGTGCACTCTCTCTTCTCATCTCGGTTTAGGCTGACCTCCTCCTTTCTCTTCATTCTTTCATCTGCTTCATTCTAATGAAACCTCTCAATACCCTCAAACCTTCTTGTCCCCTTTTTTATTTTTGATGCCTTTAATTTCTCTTGTCCTCTTCAATTAAGTTTGTTTGTGTTGAATGCAGCTATGTTGATAGATTTCAGCAAATGAAAAAGTTTCACATTTTGGGAAACACACTAATTTGCTTTCTTGCCCAGAGAAAAGCTCGACGCCAATATAAAGCTCCTACCAGATGCCACTTAGCTTAGCTTAGCATAAAGACAGGAAGCAGAAGGAAGCAGCTCTCCATCTGCCCAGAGGTATCACAAATCTTTCATTTAACTGAGCTGCTAATTGTCTAGAAGTAGCAAGGCTCTTGTTGATTCAATATAACAACTTCCACAGAATCTGCCCTCGTGTGTTTCCCGCCTTTGTAAAGGTCTGCCCCGCCCTGATTTTTTTCACCTGCCCCTCGTTATCACTCTCCCTTCATGGTGTAGTCAGTCTATCTGCTCTCCTTTGTCTGTGCCCGTTAATCTTCTGTGTTTAAGTGAGATTTCTAGCCATACGTTCCTTGTGTTTTTGCTTTGTTTGCCTCTGTTCTAAGCGCTGTTTTCCAGTGTAGACTTTCCCTTCTCAAGTCGTCCTCTTTCTGCGTGTACCGGTTTGCCTCACGGTGCCGGGATTGAAATACTGGAGAGGTGATGATCTGATAGCTGGCAGGCGTGCAGGTGGACACAGATCCAGGTAGATGGCAGGACAGTAACCACACGAGACCAACGGAGGACATGGCAGGAGAAGGAAACGCAAGCCAGCAAAACTCCGCGGCTGTGACACGAGCAGAGCTGCGTTTGAAGAAATTGCTGCCTGCTGACAGTTTAATTAACTGTCTGGTCCAACTTGGGCTGAAATTCTGGAGGGTTTTGTTTCATTACACATTGCTTTATTACTCCATCCTGGCATTCCCTGGTCCCAAAGTAATAAATGCATGTGTCACTAAGACTTTGTGACTCGAGCGTGCATTTGACATCGAGCCCTAGTAGCAGTGCTCTCATCTGTTTACAGCTTTAAAAAATACCACCTGCTGTAAACCTCAGAGCGCTTTCCCTCGTCAGTTTTTACACTCTGAGCATATGAACAAAGCACAAGTTGTGTAGCTTTACTGAAAGTGTATCATCCACTATAAGCTGCGCAGTGGAAGACAATATTCAAGTCACTTTTGATGGGCTTATCCATCAATCTCTTTGCAGGGCGACTGAAGTGTGAGAACTGGAAAGTGGGGGCATGTGTGCCACATGGAGCTCGTTGTCCTGATACACTGCACCGGAGACGCCAGAGTCAAGTGTTGGACTCCATCAGACAATGCTACCGGTGTATTCCGCTGAGGCAGCTCCCTTATTGGCTGAGCAGCGTTAATTCAAAAATAATGAAGACGTACATCATCCTGGTGCCAGCGGCACCACAGCTGCTCCCAGTACAGTGTGTTCGTATGTACGTCTCTTATTTGGTGGGTATCAAAATACAATGATGACGTCAGAAGCATCCTTGGAGATTGTTTATGTAAATGGACTTATTAAAGGCTAACGGGTTGCCATGGAGAAGAGGAGGAAATGCTCCGCATGGGGCTTTTTAACTCCAGTCAGGCCCAGGGAACCCATTATTTCCCATTTAATGTGTTGACTGTGTAAGATTGATTCTCAACACAATCACAAATTTGTGGAAAAGCACTTTTGGTATAAATCAGAGGACCAGCTGTGTGTGTGTGTGTGTGTGGAAAACCTTGGTCTCGACTTGTCCTTTCAGTTTCACAGCCTTTGCATGGCACAAATGTCATCCGACCTTTACTGCACAACATCTTGAAACGCATTTTGTGCCCCTTTATCGCTCTCACTGGTCGCGTTGATTCCCGGCTCTGACTGAGTCCCTCTTTAAAGTGGCCTCCTATCTTTAATTCATCCCCATCATTCCTCTGCTCCCTGCACTTCTGTTGTTCATTTCCTTGTACCTTCTTCCCGCGTTTAATCTCCGCTTCCTCCCTCCTCCTTCCCTCCCAGCTCGTCAGTATTCAGACTTTATTTCATTTCATGAAGCGTCCAGCTTACAGCCAGAACACACACACACACACACACAATTCCAAAAAGGTACATTGAGCTGATAACTGTCGCTCATAAATCACTCGCCTCGAGGCCTCTGCTGATAATCAGATTACCAATCAGTTGAAGTATTGTATTGTATTTCTTCCATTCTCCATCACACACACACACACACACACTCACACACACGCAGGAGACAAGACAGAGGCGTCAGACTGGCTGGAGTCTGGACTCGGAGCAGTCAAAATGAATAGCTTTCTGTGTTCACAGTGAAAGTCAGCAACAAGCTCTGGTGCTGCAGCTGATTTAGTGTTTACACCGCAATTAACAGATCAGCCAAGGTGTCTGTGTTTTTAATATCTTCACAGTTCTTGATCTAACCACCAGAGCTAAGATGTGTTGGTTTTTTCCACAAGGCACAAACTCTCACATCGCTGCTTAAAATACCACAGCTTTTCTTCTTCTTTTTTCCCATCAGCCACTAGACACAGAAACTTGTGCTCCATTTCCACCGACTGATTTGACGCTAATTAATTTGATGTCCCTTATTAAGCAGCAGACCTAGTTAATGGAAGCAAGCGTGCCCTTAAAAGCTGGGGCACAGACGATGAAGGCTGTTGACCCTTTGGCACCTGGGAAATGGAGTTAACAGGTGTCTGTAATGGGACGGTTGACATTTGTACGGTGGGAGGTCAGCTCTAATCGTTAGAGATGAAAGAGGACTTTGTATGTTTGACGTGTGATAAGAAAAATTCTTAATTGCTTCCAGAGAAAGGCAAAGCTTAACCGAGGTTCAGCCTATTGACTGTTCGCTAAACTCCTCGCTCTTTCTCCCTGAAAGTGATTGTCCGATCACAGCATGGATTTCTTCACATGAGGCCATGTGCATGGGGCGTGAGTGAGAGAGACACTTTGCATTTAAAGACTTTGGAGGGTGGTTTCCTCTTTCTTTTATTTATCACTCCCAAAAATCGAAAACACAATGGCAAAAATGTAAGAAATTGTTTAAAAAGTGTTTGTCTGCCTAACGTCTGCTGCATTTTGTCTGTCTGACTATAAAGTCATTACCAAAAAATGGCTCGTTTATTACTATAGTGCATCCACTTTGAAAAGGGTAAGTTAATGCAGCCAAACAGGGTTATCAAAATGAAAACAAATCTTACATTTTTCCTTCTCCCACTTATAATTCTATGACGAATATCTCTACACGGCAATACAAGAGCAATGCTGCTTCTTTATTTACGTTCCTGGTACATGCAGCTTTAACCTCAGTCTGTTAGCACGATATCATAAATGTAGCCGTTAAGTGCAAATTATTTCAATTAGAGTCAGCTGGCGAAAACAGTAAGCATGCAGGGAGACGCCGTTTCAAATGAGCTCATGCAGTTAACATTAGCTTAATCAGCAGGCTAGCTACAGCTGATAAATCTGCCGGAGACAGTTGTCATTTAAGGAGGGAAGCCTGCTTTTTTTCCACTTTTTATTTTGAAATCAAAGACTTGTTGCTTAAAAAGTTACATAGCAAAGGCATAGCAACAGTAGTGAATGGTCACTTGCTATTCCCTACTCTGGGACGCAAACGAATGCAAAGATAAGCACATGAAAACATAGATATACTACTGTTAAGATATGCAAATTAAGCCCACATTTCATTCTGTGGGTGCAGTTTACAGAATAACCGAAGTGGTGAGGTCATTCACAGCCCAAAGAGCTCCCAGCATTACCACCACTGCACTGAACACATCCATTAACCGAACCCCCCCCCCCCCCCCCCCCCTCTCTCTCTCTCTCTCTCTCTCTCTCTCTCTCTCTCTCTCTCTCTCTCTCTCTAGACAAGGTGTTTGTAATCCTGCACAATTACAGCAACATGCTCCTCTCCATTCTCCCGTTCTAGCTCACCTCGGCACTAAGAGCTTCCACCACACGGTCTTTTGTTGTTCAAATTGGCTTCTTGTTCCTCCCGCCACTCATCCATTCACCTGAGCTGGATTTGGACACGCGCCACCAGCCATCAAATCCCTCTGGGCACCGCAATCTTAATCCCACCACCGGTATAACAACAAACACTGATCCCTGAAACACGTAGACCCCTCCTCACGGTGGCTTTCCTCCTTCAATGTGTGTGCATTGAGCTATAAACAACAATCCACCAGTGTACCTTTTAAAAACTGAAAATGGGGAAAACCATGGAGAGGTGAATGAGTCTATCCAAGAGGATGTTTCATTCCTGTGCTACATTTATGGATCCAGTTCGTTCTATTCAGCAAAAGCTGTAAGGAAGAGTCTGTACAGTGATTTTAGAACAAAGTGCTTATCAAAAAACAAAGAGCAAACAATGTCAACTCTGTCTAAGTTGTCATATTAACCGTATGAATAGCACTTGCCTGACTGTGGTATTCATGCTGACAGTTGCCTGAACAGAAGACAAAGTTAAGTTGAAGTAATCTGTTTCCCTTCCCACGTCCTGCTGCTCCCGGTGTCTCTTCTCTCTCAAGAAGCAGCACGGTTGAGACATGAAAGATAACCAGAAGGGACAGAGCTTCTGCAACCCGGGCCCCGAGGCTCAGGAACGACCTGCCCATCTGTGGCTCAGACTCAGGTCCCCACACATCCTTGAACCAAACAAAACCAACTGGAGTTCAAAAGTCAAACCCCTCAGCCTCAAATAAATCCGGTTTAACTTCAGCTTGCCTCAAAAGGAGATCAATTCCTGTATTCTAGATCCTATTTGTTATCTGAACAGTGCTCCTAAACATCACACACTTTACATCAGACTGTTATAGCACCTTGGGGACTGTAATTCATCATTAACATGGAGACTTTCTCTTTTCTGTCTCGCAGGCATCAATCAGGGCAGCTGTTACAGAATCAACCATTTCCCTGATGACAACGACTACGACACAGACAGCTCTGAATACCTGCTGCGTAAGTGCTCCCCGCTCGTCCTCTTTGTCTCGCCTTTATCGTTCCTTTATTTTGAAGGGCATGCAGGAAGTCCGCTGACCTTCAGCGTCTTTTTTTATTTTGGTTCTGAGAACAGTCTTTTATACGTAGATTGATCAAATGCAGAACGAAGGCGTTGAGTAAGACAGGCTTTAAACGGGTTCAGAGCTGCTGTATCAGACCACAACCCGTGATATCTATTTTCTATTGTCTGACTTTTCTTGCAAATGGTTTTAAAGCAGTTATAGTTTTAAGTTGACTGTCATGCTTTAATTAAATGTTCCTTTCTTGCTAATCAATTAGCGCCACAATAGATATGGAGCTGAAACAAAAAAGAAGCTCATTATTATTTTCTTACTAAGAATAAAAAAACTTACGACACCATTTCATATTATTATTATTTTTCTAAATTACTTTGAGTGATGCTGGTGCAGGATCAGCAGCTTATTTTCATTTTCATTTTTACATGAAGCATATTGTGAGCTCTGCTCACCACGAGTTACACTTGTTTCCACTGAACTGTGGTGACAGGGACATGAAATCCTCGCTGCTTGTGAAATTTCAAGGTATTCTTCAGCGACAGCTGATTAAAAATGACAACGACAAAGCTCCTACATAGATTAGATTGTGATTAGTTTGGGATATTCAATTAGTAAAAGACCTTCATTTAAAGCAACGTCTAACATGTGGAGAAGAACAAAGACGAAGTATTGGACAAATATTGATTAATGAATTTTGTTAAAACCATTTAACCCAGATATTAATCATGTCACGTCCGTCCTCCTCCGTTCCTGCAGGTATAGTCCGTGCCTCCAGCGTGTTCCCCATCCTCAGCACCGTCCTGTTGATGCTTGGTGGGCTGTGTGTCGGGGTGGGCCGAGTCTACAGCAAGACCAACAACGTCCTCCTCAGCGCCGGCATTCTCTTCGTAGCTGCAGGTGAGCTGGAGGATTACACTTGTTTGCCGCGCTCGCAGTGAGGAGCAATCATTGAAGAGCTGCAGCTTTCATAATGAAGAAAGGCAGCTTGATGTGGCACCTGTGATCACATAATGTACTCCGTCAAAGGCAATGCAATCATGCAGATGAACTTCATTCCCCACTGATAAAGGTCAGGATCTCCATTCATCACACACGAGTGATGAGGAGACATGTTATTAAGGGTCCCGGTGGTGATGAGAGCTCCATCATTGTTAGTGGTAAAGTCATAGATGATTGGTCATCACATTTTCAGTTTTGTCCACACTATTTTCATCCACGCCAACCCTTCTCCCTGTTTCCATTTATTGTTTCTGTTTCTCAGGTCTGAGCAACATAATTGGCATCATCGTCTACATCTCCAGCAATGCAGGGGACCCCAGTGATAAACACGACGACAGGAAGTACACTTACTCCTACGGCTGGTCATTCTACTTTGGCGCCCTCTCCTTCATCGTGGCCGAAGCGGTTGCTGTCCTCGCGATCAACATCTACATTGAGAAGAACAAGGAGGTTCGCTGGAAGGCGCGGCGCGAGTTCATCCGTTCCCTCTCTTCCTCCTCCCCGTACTCCAGGATACCCAGCTTCCGGTACCGCCGGCGGACATCGCAAGCCAGCTCCCACTCGACGGAGGCGTCGCGGGAGAACTCGCCGGTGGCCGGTCTGAAGGGGGGTCCGTCGTCTAGCGGGGCCCTGGACCAGCTGTCCATGTACGCCCTGGCGAGGGACAGTGTGACGGAGAACGCGTACAGCCCCGAACACGAAGCGGCTGTAGAGTTCCTCCAGGTCCATAACTGTTTCTCCAATGATTTAAAGGACGGGGTGAATCGCAGGACCACGCCAGTGTGAGAGGTTCACCTGGAATCGGAGGAACATGAGATTATGAGAGATCAATGGGCTGATCTGTTGGAGCCCGGGTGCTGGTGATAGCCTGCCATCTTAGAGGCACAGTTTTTTGGAGAGACTGTCCTTTTTTTGGAAGGACCTGAAAGGAAAAGAGAGGACACTCAGCAGGACGGACGATGAGCCAATTAACATAAACTGAGAACCATTCATCTGCTTTGAGAGACCATCGAAGCAGAATGGAGTTTCATTGTCTGTGCTGTAGCTGATTCGAACCCTTGTGTAAAAGTCACTAAACGTTGAGGGTGGGACATGTTGAGATGTGCCAATCAGCAGTAATCTACCTGTAAATTATTCAACAAGGTGCTAAATGAAATGTACTCTTCAACTTGAAAGTGTTCCATTTATATGTTTGTATATAACTTGTGGATCCTTCTCCAGAGTTTGTTTCGTGTCCTCATAACCAGTCTGGTCTTGCCTTATACTCGAATCAAAGGTTTGAAAGAGACAACCGGGTCTCTCTCTCTCTCGCTCTCTCTCTTGTCTAGCTCACCGTCTCTTCCTTATTCTTCTCTTGACATTTGTCAGTCGGAAAAAAAAATGTCTGTTTTGTCGGCGGAGCACCTCCGTTCAATGGCCCCCTTTTTTCTTCACTTCCATATCAATCGTCCGTCCTCCCGTCACAGCCCACCTGATTGATGTGACAGTTGTGCGTGTTCCTGTACCCAGAGACGAGCAGCTGACCAAAGAGGGGGGTGCTCAGAACTGTTAACGCGGCACAGGTCAGGACTTCCTTTTGCTCTGAAAAGAAAGCATCCATAGTGTTCAATGGATAAGGATCAGAGCCAGGCAGGCGAAGAGTGTTTGTCTGTCTGTCACGTTGCCTTTGAGTCCATCTGGCTGTCTTTCTTCCTTCTCATGTTGAACAGAGGACCCAGACAGAGGCAGAGGGAGCTGTCTGCGACTGCGTCCCTGAAGGATTTGGCTCTAATAACCCGATGTGTGTGTGTCTGTGTGTGTGTGTCACTGCTCTTTCCTTTAGTTCTCTCAGGAAATACTGTGTTGTTCTTGCAGGTTGGACACTTTTGAGGTCCTCCCCTTACTTTATGGCAGTGCTGGGAAATGGACCAGTGATAAAGATAAACCTGGTTGGAAATGATTTGAGAAAAGAAAATGCCATTACTGTATTTATTTATATGCTGTGAGTGTTTGCTTGAGCTTGCTCCAAGAACCAGCTTGTGTGTGTGTGTGTGTGTGTGTGTGTGTGTGTGTGTGTGTGTGTGTGTGTGTGTGTGTGTGTGTGTGTTTGTTTGTGTGTGTGTTTTTTCAGTCTTAGGGCTATTCAGTTGGTTCTGGTTTGGCAAGCGAGCTCACTCAACCACAGAGTCGTGTTTGATTGTATTTAGTGTGTTTGATATCCCGTTGGAGAAACCACTTCATGTAACCGGCTTAGCTCATGTAAAAGAAAGCCGCCAGTATGATCCATTCTAAGTGTCGGTCCAACACTTTTATAGTACGATCCAAACGTGTTTGTTTGTAATGTAAAGCTGTAAAATTGTATATAAAAGTACAATAAAAATACAAAAATAACATTGAATGTGCAACAGAGGATTCAAAGCATTTTACTGAACAATGTCTCAATAATAACGCCTTGATGCATTCTGGCATTGGTCATTGAAGATATTCAGGTGAACACACACTGTCTAAGGTTAATCTATTGAATGTTCTGTGAGGTGAAGTGAAGTAAACATGTGTAGGAGACAAAGCTATATTTCCCATGCCATGTGTAGGCACTGCTGTACTTTACCTTGTGTGCTTCTTTTGATTTATGGCTTACTATTGTTGTGAAATAAGTACATTCTCAATATTTCTTTCAAGAAATTAGCGATTAACATTTACTAATAGAATGACTTGTACACCAAAAAAAAAACCAGGAAAAGAAACCTCGGCTCTTGTCCCAGTGTATCAAAAAGTAATTCCCTTTTTCATGCTGTTTCAAGACCAAACATCACGACTGTAAAAGTATTCCTGTTTTATATTGGATTTGAGAATGCCTTTGTTTTATTTTTAATTTCCTGTATTTCCTGCTTTTATTGTAATAATCAAAACAATCTTTTATTTCATCCGAGTTAGATTGTCGCTCTCACTTTCAGTTTTTTTTTAGTTACAACCCAAAACATACTGTACATAGACAAATAAACTACATCAGGGTTATTTTGTTGTGCTGTAGTGGTGATTTATTGTTAACAAGACTACAGCCATGCCAGACGCTGAACTGTAACATGTCGATGCTTAGCGGGTTTAATGTTTATCATGTTAATCCATCTCAGTTTAGCGTAGTAGCATGCGGCTACTTTGGCTACTAAACACACCTTCAAACCACAAATGTCAACCTCATGGTGGCGCTAGGGGGGGAAATCGGGGTTCACCCTGTCACAATGGTTCATCCTCTGGGAACATTGAATGTCTGTAGACCATTTATTTTTAATCCATCTAATAGTTATTAAGATATTTCAGTCAGGGTGTAGAACAGAATACAGATACAGATGGCATTCACCTCAGAGGAGATTGATTTCCATTGAAAACCTTTGATTGCAGCGTTTCATTCAGATTTCTATGGCTGACCTCTGAGTGCCGAATGCCTCTTCAGTTCTGCTGCATAGGACTGAATCACCGTCATCTCAGAATGAGCTATTAGCCTCTTCAGCCTCAGAGTCTCTGCGTTGTTGTGGCAAAGAAATTAATCTGTTAGCATCCTGCTGATGGCAGCCCCTTGTAGATCAAAGTGTTAATAAGCCGCCACTGTCGCTCAAAGAGATGCCACCTGACCAAATGAAGCCATTTATTTATTGCCCATGCTGATCCAATCGGTTCGCAGACTGAACCTGTGTTTTCTCAGTGTGTGTGAATATAGAAAAATACCTGATAGAAGAAAAGAGCAGATGGTAGCGGGCAGAGAAATAGGACTGTTCAGCCGTGGTTGAACCCCCTTTTGCCTGTTCAAAATGTTTTTACCTCTCAAGACAGAATGAAGGCTTCTTCACCATTCATTAATGCGTTTTCAAAGGTTTCTATTTGGCCAAATGCAACTAGGAACCTCCAAGTAAAAGGTGAATATTACCTACATATTGTGGTTGCATAGCTCAAAAGCACATCATCATATATAACTGGATACAGAGCACACTCTATTTAAAGTAAAGGAATGCTGTGACTCATATAAGAAAAATGAAAACGACATTACCTTGTCTGAAATGTGTAATTATGCTGGTGAGATTTCAATGTTGGTTGCTGTGTTATCTAGCTGGGGAAATCATCTTTTGATAGTGAAATCTGATGCTGCAGTTAAACCGCTACATCAGCTCCTCGTAATCTCCACCTAATTTCATTTTCCTTCAATCTGTGCTCATTAACTCTCACTTCACTGTCATCACCTAAAACCTCTGCTTCATGTTGATCGATGGCCGCAGCTTTTTGGCCGGAAACAGGTCAAATGAGCGAGGACGGTGTCTTGTATGTTTAACTGATCCCTCTGTTTCAGGGAGGTATTTCAACATGACCCTCACAGAAATGGCCTCGGGGGCCAATCTAATTTAGCTTGAGTAATGTTGCCTGTCATTAGCAAATGAATATATAGTCAGGTCCCTCTGTGCAATCTATTCTGTTGTGGGTAAAATTAGTCACCAGTTAAGGTTGTTTCTCATCCTGGAATAAAAAAAATAAACCAGACGGTAAAGCCGGCAGCCGTAGCTGATTTTAGATGTGTCTGTCCTGATTTCAGCAGAAGTGATTCTCTATGTTTCTGCTCGAACATCACTGAAAAGATGGTGATATTTCTGGTAATGTTGTCAGAGACTCTTGCCAGATGCCGCTGTCTTGTTTTCAGTGTTTCTCATCACTGCTCCAGTACGAGACACACTTGTATCGTTGATGACAGCCGTCCACGCCGCTCGCCGTTGCTTGGAGACTCCGCATTATTATACATTTAGAGACAAGCGGTGGCTCGCACAGACTCATCCGGGAGAAAAGGCAGTTTTTCTTGAAATGCTTCCAGGTGGAACATGATAATGAACACAACTGTCTGTCTTAACTAACACTGTGTTGTTGTTTTTCTTTAAAGCCAGCAAGTGAGATGATTTCTCTTTGATGATCAATTTCCCGGTTCAGTTAGCAACTGAAGGTGTTTACAAAAAGCACTTTAGTCTCACATTACATTCACTTTCTAAAAGAATGTGAGGCATCAGACACGTTGTGGTGTTTCTCTCCAGCTCTCTCGTTTTAACACACACAGACACATATTTTGTATAATTGGCCTCGAAATTGAATAAACAATCCAGACTCTCTCTGTTTCTGTTTTACACTTACACAAACACACACACACACACGATTCTCTCGAAAGTCTTTTTTACCTCTTGCTCTTGCTTTAGGCGTCTTCTCGTTTAAACCCAGAGCTGTGTGAGCGTTGTCAGGGCTGAAAATAGGCCAGAATCCCGTCTAAAGTGGGGCACAGCGGTTTATAAAAAGCATTTCTCACTTACTCAAGTATTTCACAGGGAAAAGGTTGATTGTGCCTTTGAGACGTATTAGAGGTTATTAGTGTTTTTTCCATCCTCAAACTGTGCTCTGTCATTTTTTAGTGAAGCCATCAAAAACATTTGTGTGTCTGATCAACAATATATTTAGTTCAAATAAAATTAAAAGTCTTTATAAAAAGGAAAACATGGTATCAAACATTCATGTCCAGCACAGAATATGACCAGACACTTTAAAAAAAATGTTGCTGGCTCCAAATCAACTTGGTGTTCCTCCCAGTGCCCCATGACTTCGTTCAATTAACTCACCTGTTCACCCACCTGCATCATTATTAAAGCGACTGACGTAGGATGAAGAGCGAGATAGTCCACACGGGACAGACGAGAGTGGAGGCGGACGGGTCAAACAAGCACAGGAGTTTTGTTCAGGAGACCGCTGTTAGTTTTCTGTGTCGTTAGTCATGTGACTAATTTGTAGTGACCTGAGTCAGTCAAATGAATATCAGCCATGCCCTTTCCTTAAACCTGACTCAGTGGTTTTGTTGCCTAAACTTAACTTGCTGTGAAGATTATTTTGAAAAGACAACTGACACGTCCAAAACTGACGCGAGAGGGGAACGTAGAACGTCATCGTTTGAAGCTTAGGACCATTGACCAAGCGTCTGCATTTGACTAGTTGGGAGTGATGATGTGTTGACAAAATGCAAGTCAATATATATTCAGGAACATTCAGAAGGCCAATTCAATAAACAAGGATATTAAAAGTTCTAAAGCTTGAGCTCTCTCTGCTTTGCTGAAGAGATGATGAACTGAACGTCCTGTGTCGAAGCCCTTTTGCTGTCTTTCTAGATCAGCAGCACCAGGAGGGACCCTTGTCTCCCACCTTAACTGCTGATTGGCTGAGGAAGTAGATCAGCTCATTCAGATGACAACTAATAAAGGACGACCCCCCACCCCACCCCCCACCCAGGAGTCCCCCTGGCACACAGCGACTGAGACAATTGAGCTGGAAAAAGGCTGAATAAGAAAAGGAGAAACAGAGAATGTTTCAGATAAATGATAGATTGATAACATCAGTATTTGGAAGGGCGATTGAATATTGAATTGTCAAAACTTGAAGCCGGATCTTTTCAGGAGACGTTGCAGTTAGAAGTGCACAACTGGCATGCTCACAATCGATAGACCGTGCCTAAACTTTCAATGAAAGGGTCTGATCTTGACCCGTAAAAGGTGTAACAGCTGTAAACAGGCCCCGGTACATCTTCATATCGTATAGCTGAAATGGCTTCAGCTCACCGAAGGCAACTTGGGAGGGAGAGGAAGCGAGGAGAGAAGTAGAAACTAGGGCACTGTTATCTGGCCCCTTTTTACCAACCACAAGGCGCATGGCAGGGAAACAGAAAGAAAGAGCTGTGGACGGGAGAGCAGGAGAGAGGAGAGGACGTCTCAAGTGTCGTGAAGCTGCAGACGAGACGGGGGAACCTCTGGAGTCAACATCCGACGTCAAGGATCTGAAGACAAACAAGACAACCTTGACTGTCCTACACAGTCTTTACGATCACACACACTTCATCTATAAGCACACACACACTAGCATTTCAAACACACACACGTGCAAACACGCTGCGCGTCCACAGCGTCGCGCACACATTGAGCGGCAACATGTTTGAGGAGCAGGCGACCAGGGTCAAGATCACGTCTGTGGTGATCGTGGTGGGCATGTCGTCGATGCTGGCGGCGGTGGTGACCGACCACTGGGCCGTGCTCAGCCCCCGGGTGGAGAAGCTCAACGCCACCTGCGAGGCGGCCCACTTCGGCCTGTGGAGGCTCTGCAAGAAGAGCATCTTCATCGTCGAGGAGGACCCTCAGGGCAAAGGCTGCGGCCCCATCAGCTTACCTGGAGGTAAGGAGCCTTTTGTTCTGACTGTTGTGAATGAATGTGAACCTGCTGTTTGAGGATTTGTGTGTTGTTGTGCTTAAGGTTCACGTCAAGGTATATTCCGACACTTATATTTGTTGTCAAAGTGAACTTGTTGTGTGGTTGCTGACTAACAGCTCTCTGGGCTTGAACTACTCCTGTATGTTCATACCCTGTGAGTAGTTTTCTTCCGCCATATTTAGAGACACAAGGAATGACAAAAAAATGTATATTGTTGGATCTTGGATTGGAACCGGTGAAGAAATGTCTATACTTTTAGTTCTGCTTTACATATCTGTGTAGACACGCAGGTCAAAGCAGACAAAAACAACAGAACAAATGGACTTAACAGCTGAATATGGTGGTCTGTCTGCTAGCTTTCGTACAGTGTTTGATCTGATTTATTTTTCCATAAATCTTGGGACATTAAACCCTCGTGTCATTTTCACAACAGCCTTGGTGGATTTAAAGCGGGACCGGTAAGGTGTTGGAGTCGAGTGTCTGTACATAAGAGCCATTTTGGTCAGCCTATCTTCCACCCCGTGTAACAGTTCTATCACCGGCTTCTCACTGAAACCATCATTATCTTCCACAGAGAAAGTCTCTGAAGAGACCACCAATTAAGCACAGGCGGACAGCTGAAGTCAAGTGCGTAATGGAGGAGCATCGCTGCTGTACTTCACAGTTAACTCGGCAAAAACATGAATCTCTTCTCTCTGGGCTGGTGGATAACAAATACAATCCATTTTACCTGTGTTATGTAATTATACACCATACCCTCCGGCTCTATAAATACTAGAATGTATAGGAAATCACGACTGTCCACGGAGCAGTTTTTAGGGAATCAGCCTAATTAAAGCAGTGTTTTCTGATGCCACAGATAAACCTTGGTTTGGCATGTTTAAATGCACCAAGTGGGAGAGGCTGCTTGGTCTTCAAGCAAGTCCATTTTGGAAGTTATTTCCCTTCTTCTAAGTGATTCCAAAAAAAGCAACAAAAAACAACATTCTGTCTAGTATTCAAACGTCTGCTTCTCCAAAATAGCCTTGTAGCTTTAATTACAAGTCCTATTTGAACAGATCCGGCCCGGGGATAAGCAGCATCTCGCTGGCCTCTGGCTGTGTGTGTGCGTGCCTTGCAGCCTAACACAGAGATTTCCCTCTGACTCTATCATTGACTGAGCCTCTGGCTCCAGCGCCTCAGGATCAGTACAAGCCCTAATGAAGTGTGGCTTCCCGCTCCAGCTCACGAGTTAAAGTACACCTGGGAGACTCGGGAGAGATGAAGGGGACTGGGGAAGAAAACAGGAGTCTGTGTAGGTGGATAGAGGCAGGGATGCCTGTATTGATGGGAAAAAGAGAGCACTTTTATAGTATCCATAGGAGGAGGCGGAGGTGATACTGTACTAAGATGTTGAAGGGAGGGCGGAGAAGCTGACAGACAAGAGTTGTGACAGCTGCCGGTTATGATATGTGACTCACAGAGGGCCTCCAGAACACCTTCTATCTTTTCCCCCATTGGGCAAGTCTCCAGGTATATTGCAGCTGACAGACTCACAACTCAAATATGATAAACGATCCAGTAATAACCCCCCACAGCCTGACAGCAGCAGTAAAACTGTGTCAGAATATCTGTGAAGAATCACAACTTGCTTTGCGGTACTCGATACGATCTGGAATGGACAATAATGACGAGGGAGAGAGGAGCCATCTGGCAGAATAAACTTGTTGGCGGCTCACCTGTCTTGCTTCCAGCAGCGAAAGGACTTCAGCCCCCAGTGTGCTGCCACCTGCCAGAGTGTGTGTGCGGCAACAAATATCAGCTGTTTTAACAGAGACCCAGTTGGTTACATTCCCGCAACTAAACTTAGATTATGAGCGAAAATGAGTCATTCTTTCATATTACCTGAAAATGTCTCGGGATTTGGTGCAGGGCTATAAAACACGCTGCCATTTGCTTCCACACCCAGAGTGTCGCCAGAAAATGTATCTGTGAGTGTGGATCCTCGTCCTCTGTGCTGTCGTTACGTCAGGATGACATTGGATGAGATGCTGATTGGTGCTTTAGAAAACGAGTTTAGTGAGTTCCTCACCAGGCGAAGTTGTTTGTTTTTATAGTGGCCAAGAAAAGGCATCTGCAGGTTTCTTCTACTGGCACCCAGTTGGTCAATCCGGTGGCTGTGGTTTGACAGCAGAGAGGACCACAGAGAAATGAAACCACTCTCTGGCTGCAGCCATTTGCTTTCTCCTCGATAGAGCGCTATTAGGACTGGCAGCATGTCTGAGTGCCGAAGCCTCAGCTTCTGAGTGCAGTTCCTCATGTATAACAATGTTTCACATGCGGTGAATTCACAGATGGAGGTTTTTTTTTTTGGATTAAAAAAAGCCAGCCAACCTCTAGCAGCAGAGTTAACACTACACGATGGCGAGGTCTACAACATGGAGTCAGTTTGACTATTTACATAGATTTTATATTCCAGTATTCAGCCTACAAATAGAAAGATGATTTTTGGCTCAATTAGCAACAAGTAGTGGTACAAAATACGCTCAACTTCTACTCTTACTGGTATTTTATAGGATACTGGAGTCAAAGAGAATATAACATGGCCACTTTAGAGTCTACTGGAGTGGCTGGCCGGCTAAAAGCACCACACCGGCGTTACTTTATCTGCTTCTCAATTTAATGTGCGTCGTATAGTGTTTAGCACATAAGCAAAGCACAATGTTTAAAAAAAACAAGCTGAGTTGATCGAGAGTGCACCATAACAGAAAACATCCTCGATGAACAGTATACCCAAGCAAGCAGCGTCGATTTGACTCAATTACACACATTTGCATTTTCCCAAAACAGAGGGGGAGTTAGTCGTCCAAACAATTTTTCATATAGGCACAATTACACTGTTTTTGTAAAGGGGTTGCATAACAACATCAGCAAAGCGGTGAACCCAAATGACTTTTGAAATGAGCTTCCCACAAAGGATGCACGACAGCTTGAGTGCTGTAAAAATCAAACAAAACCTTCATGGATCGCATTATGCTGCTCAGGGGGCAAATTAAGAGCTTAAATTGTGCTTCTACGGGCATGTGTGTGTGTTCCTACACGTATGTGTGTGTGTTCCTACACGTATGTGTCCAAAGAAGAAGGTGAGGAGTTTGTTATCAGGGATGTTTTAGAGCTTCCAGTCCTACAGTTGGGAAGAGATTGCAACCGGAGCACTTTTACATTCAAATAAAACGTCCTCTGCTTCTTTCGGTGACACAATGCCGGTGCCCTACATTCATACTCTCAAAAGCCCAGATGTCACCTTGAGCCACCATTTTCCCTTTCTAGATGCCCAGTCATTTCCCTCACTAGTCTGCCAGCTTTGGGTGCGGAGCCAAAACTGCGGAGGTGTGGCACTGATTTGGCGTTCAGGAAACAAGTGTAGGGTTCAATATTTGAATGAATCACACCCCGTTATGTATATGTGAGGTATATAAAGGGAGCAACATATTCAGATACAACTACAGACTGAGATGCTCGGATGCAGTTTGTGGTGGCTATGATGGCGACGGATTAACTTTACTGGTTTAAATTTCACACTAAAAGGTTGCGAGGACGCTCCTCTGCTGCCGTGTCCCAGTTATCAGACCTCTCAGTGGAAAAGACATTCAAATACCACCACCCACCACATTCACATTGACCCAGAATTAGTCGGTCATTCTGCATCGCCTAAAAAAACACATCTTCTCTAACACTCCTGCAAATGATATAGAGGCTATTTTCTGGACCAAATGTGAAGTAACATTGTAGGTAAAAACATGGAAATACTGGATACCAACTGTGAAAGGACAACCACGAGAAAACTGGACTGAGAGAAGAATTACTCGACAAAGTTGAGGTGTAAGAGAGGGACGGGTTTAATGAGAGGTGGAAGAGGATGATGGTAAGGGAGAAGCTGAGAGGAGGTTGGTAGTGGAAAGAGGCAAAGCTAAAATGACAGGCGGTACCTCGCTCTAATCACTCTCCCCCACTGGAACTAAATCTCACAATTAGCCCGACTGCAAGGTCAATGATACGCACTCAGATGTTCTCCTCATCAGCAAATGTCCACCATCGCAAAGTTACAAGCCAGATTTGTTTTTAACCTTTTGTGGGCCATGTTTTTTTTACTTTAAGTACAAAACGTGAGTGTAGTTGCACGTGTTCTCCTCCAGCATAATGTGTCATTAGGACGGAACTTGGCAACAAAGTTTGTCTTAGCAAAAATAGACCATAAAGGGGGTTATGCTTTAGGGCGTGGCTACCTCGTGATTGACAGGACACTATCACAGCGTGGTCCGGTCAGTGAGTTATCCGCGTTTTAGTTTTACAACTTTAACCCTTTCACAGTGTGTTTTCAGTTTATAACATTTTGGTCACCTGAAAATGTCTTGACTCAGTGTTCGGTTTTACTTAGCTCCACCCTCTCCTGTCACTTCTGGTTCCAAAGAAAACAAGATGGCGACGGCCAAAATGATGAACTCAAGTCTTATAAATGGCGGCCCACACAGCAATGTGTGACGTCACGTCCATTTCTATACAATCTAGGGACTACACTTAGCAAAATCCCCAAAATAATGGTTTTGGAATTTACCATAATTACTAAGAAATTTGAGGTAAATCGGACCGCGGTCTTACTGTGAACAGGTACCATGCTAGAATAGAAAGCTTTACAGGTGTAGTGTCAGCAACTAAGGGGGAGGTGGGACTCAGCAAACGGTCAACTACTCAACCTACGAAAATCAGGAACTATCCAGCAACTAAACTCTCATTTTGATTCTCTGCTCTTATTCTCAGGCTTTTCGAGCTTCCTTTGTATACGCCAAAGGTCTTTGTGCGGTGAGCAGATATTAATCTTCATAGAAACTGGAGTAAATCTCATAGCTACACCCAAACACATACTGGCTTAGACTAGTTGAGTCCCAGAGGTAAAGGCAGCTAATGAGTGAAGACTAATGAAAATTATATATTTGCAGATCCAAGCTGCTCTGTGACCCCGCCTCCAATTCCCCCCACCGTCAGCCAGTCCATCCCCCTACACACACACACACACACACACACACACACACATGCATGCACACACTCCTCTTGATATGCCTTTGTAAACACATAGGGCCAGCCAACACCTGCAGCAGCCTGTTGCTAGGTTACCTCTTTAGTGATTCTTACTCATCCTGTTTAACAAACAGCTCCTCTGTTGCCTGGTACACACACACACACACACACACACACACACACACACACACACACACACACACATAGCATATGCACACACATACAGACACCAACACACACATTATCCGTCTCTGTGTGGATAGAGAGAGCACGTGTCTGCTTTATGGGTTTAATCTCAGCGAGAATCGTGGGGCAGAGGAAAGACGGGACTCTCACTTGGCCTTCACCTCCTCTCCACCCGTCCCTCTCAGCCCAGCTGCCCTCAGAGACAACAAATAGAGAGATGGACCTGCGGGCCTGTATGAGGCTATATTGAAGATTGTGGTCAAAGGACTAAAGAGTTTCGAGAAGCAAAGTGCATAAATGGATCATTCCTGTGTAGAGATAGATGCAGGCAGACAGTGACGGATTTTGAGTTTAAGACGCTTTACTTTAGGATAACAGCAGGTCACACAAGAACACTGCAGGGATTTTGTGGGCGGTGTTGACCGGATCAAACGGAGGCAAAGAGGAAGTGCAACAGTTGTGCACATAACACACTCTATACCTCCTTCTCTGGCATAGCAAAGTGCAAAGCAACCAAAGAGGCACTGGTTTGCGTGCATCGACCCTGGTGAAGGGTCCATGAACTGGAGGAGAACTGGATGAAAATTGGGCCCACAAAACTAATTCCAAAGAAATTTCTGAAGTCTAACATGTGTGAGGTTATAAGTGGTTGAACAAAGCAACGTTTTCAATTCTTTCAGTTTTTAAACTTATGAAACATAAGGTTTATGAAGATCTTTTACAGCATGAATAACGTCAGACTTCCAGGCTAAAATGAATAATAATGTTCTACTGTTTTTCGCTCCTGCGTGTTTCTTTAATGTATGTCTGATAGCTTTCTAATGGGATCCATGGAGAGATTTAACATTTAGGCTACGTCGAATGGCATTGCAAGCACACAGGGCTACGAATACAACCTGAGCCCCCTCTCTCACCCTCTTCTCTCCCTCCCTGTCTTACCCTGCAGCTAAAAACTGTTCCTACTTCAAACACTTTACCTCGGGGGAAGAAGCAGAAGTTTTTGAAGTCAAGACCCAGAAAGGTGGGTGCCTCCTCACTGCCACCAAGACGACAAGTTACAACAGATCCTTTTTTTTCAGATCCAACTTGTTGTAAGAAAGGTGTACAGTCAATCACAACACAAGTAACCTCTTAAAACATTTAAAAACAACAGCTATTTTAGATTTAGTCTTAGTCTTAGAACTCATTTTGTCAGCAATCACTTTTTACTAAGTGTTAGTCCTGTGCCAAATGTTTCCACCAGATTATATGGAATATTTCAGTCAATCTGGTCCAGCCAAAACAATAATCTTGTCATTTTAGTCAAATTAATTTCACATATAATCATTATCTGATTTAAAAAACAAAAACACCGGCTGAATTATTATGAATGCAGCTTTGTGGGGATGGCCGTTTCCAGAAAAATAATATTAAAAAATCACTGGAAACAATCATTTTTTGAAGGTATTGTTTAAAAAATGGTATATTGCTGATCCCCAGCATGAAGAGACTTTGACACACACACACACACACACACACACACACACACACACACACACACA